TGACATTAAAACAATATAGATTAATTAGTAGATTCCTAGCAGTGTGTCGTAGGTATAGTAACAAATAAACCTGTGGTCTGAATCCAACTGATAGTCCTAACTAGAGTAGAACTTCTGAATCAAGACTAGAGATGGGGGAATTTGTATTTGTATACTAATACGAATATCCCCCCCAAAGGTGGAGATAACAAGGGTCCAGCCCCCCGGAGCCAGACTGTCCACTCACAGTTATGCCGCTGCCGCGAACTGCACAGAGCCTTTCTATCCCTCCATTGCTCGTGATAGATTAGCCAGTCCTGGCAGAAGGTGGGATGCTGAGCCTCTTGGACAGGTCGCAGAGTGGTTAATCCATTTTGAGCAATGGAGTGATAGGAAGGCTCCATCCAGCTTGCGGAAGTGGCGTAATCGTGAGTGGCCAGACCCTTGTTATCTCCACCTGTGGGAGGATATTCGTATTCGTATACTAATACCCCCATCTCTAATCAAGACCTAAATATTGAAATACCTTTCAGCAACTGATTCAATGTGTCTAAAGATAAAGTTCCTACCCAAAGTCACTAGAAATCTCATTATTCAGAAAAGCTGGACATTTTCACAATTCCTGTATCATAGTATATCCTTTACTATGTAAAGGTAAAGGTTCCCCTTGACATTTTTTTTGTCTAGTTGTGTTCGACTCTAGGGGGCGGTGCTCATCTCCATTTCCAGGCCATAGAGCCAGCGTTTGTCCGAAGACAATCCTCCGTGGTCACGTGGCCAGTGCAACTTAGACACGGAACGCGAGGTGGTCCCTATTTATCTACTCACATTTGCATGGTTTCGAACTGCTAGGTTGGCAGGAGCTGGGACAAGCAACGGGCACTCACTCTGTCACGTGGATTCGATCTTACAGCTGAAGATTTACAGACCTTACAGCACAGAGGCTTCTGCGGTTTAACCCACAGCGCCACCACGTCCCCTATGTGGAGGATGTTAAATTTTGATTTAACACTTCATATTCTTACATGTATTTTTAAGTTGCAAAAAGATTTCTTTAAAGTTGGACTTAAATAGAAGATATTATATGGGAATATTTTGATTACTACTTCCAAGCAGGTAATGATTGCTGTTTATAAGAGAATACCAATATACGTGAGTAGGAAAATCATGTTATTGTGATGGCAAACATATAATCATGCCAGAAAAACAAACAAAATGAATTTAAACATAAAACAAAGGCGGGATTCATAACTGGGGCAGGAGGAGCACCAACTTCTGGATCACTGAACACTGCAAAATCTTTTTAATGAAGAAAAGATTAAAGTGCCTGGGAAATGTCATCTTGAAACAGTACAGAAATTATCTTTGTTTGATGTTAGTTACTGCACAGTTAATTCCCAGACAGAATCTGCAGCAAGACAACACCTGCCTTTGGTAGATTACATAGCAAACTGATACATCCATTTTGTTTCTGGATTAGTTTTCAACTATCAAATAACATTTTAAATATTCTCCCAAATACGAAAAATCTAGAAGTGCTTTCAAAGAATGTTTTCACCAAATGACTTCTCTTTGTGTCAATTCACAAAGGTGTCATGAAGTTCATGCCTCACAGCTGTTCCTTAAACTCTTACCATTCCAAATTAAATAGGTAATATTAACTTGAAACAAAAACTGGTCACCTCAAAGAAACTGAATCAAAATAACTGAGACTTATTACGCAAATTCTAAAGAGGCATAGGCCATCTGCAACAACAGAAGCATTTTTCTAGACTAACTGTTTGCAAATTGTCCTATTCAGGGGATTCAAGAAGATATTTAGACTTGAACCTTCATTACTTAACCCTTTGAAGAATATGGGAAACCATAGCAACAGTGAGCAATTTGCAGTTCATCTCATTTTTATAGCATTGTTACCCAAAATTGCTAAAAAGTTAAAACTATTTGAAGCTCGCTAACAGTGGTCAGACCCAATAAAATGCCTTTCACCACAATGTTAAACTAGGAAAAGTTTAATATATATACATACAGATCCTTCAGATGTTAATTAAGGCAATATTGTCCAATTCCATCTAAATCCTGTTGCTAGTCCTAGCTAGAGCAGACTATTGACTAAGCTGTTTAATAGTGAGTCAACATTTATCTAAATCTCACTGACTCAGTTGGGCTACTCTAGTTGGAACTACCAATAGGATTTAGACCACATAGTAGTAATTCTGGTTTTGTTACACTGCTACATTTCCATGAAGCAACTGATGATGAAAACAATTTCTCATTATTTCTGTGTCTTTCTGTAAGGTGACAGCATGTCTTACTAGCATCTCAATATATATCATGCCATGCAGCCAGAGTGCAGGGGCACATAGGGTGTAGCTCATTACATTAATGGCTGGATTTATTTTATGTTTGCACTTTGGACATGCTGACCAGAGTGGATAAAAATCAATGATTTTTTTAAAAAATTATTTAAATCATACTTTAATTTTTTAATTGATTTTTATTTATATAATAAAAATCAAAATTTAAAAAATGTAAATCAAATTAAATTAGGTTTAAATCAAATCCACTCTTATGCTGACCTTTGTGATTTTTAATCAAGGTCATCACTACATTTGCACAGAGTAAAAGACAAATAGTTCCCAACATTAAATTACTTCAGATACTTTGTACCTGGCCAAATATGCACCTGACTTAATAACAAGTAGAAACAGAGTTTGTGACCATATTATTTACTGGTTTGGCCAAAACAACATAAAATTCACTCCCCAACCACTTCTTGGTATCTCTTGAATTAGAAAGGGTAAAGTTCAAAAGACTTCTAGAAACATAGTACTGTACCTAGAATCCTGCCTACCCAGGATGGTCATTTGCCATGGCGGCTGATGAGTTTTCCTTCTGAAAACAGAAGCATTTCCAAACTCTTTTCAAGTTATGTTGTGACAGAAGAAACTGTTGCTGGCAATATGTTAAAGGATGATCTAGACCCCCAAACCTATTGTCCTCCAGCTTGTTAAAGGCAGCAAAGATGAATAGTTAAAGGCAGAGGCTACAAATAATTCAAGCATCCTTTAGGAATTGTAAACATTCTGTGTAAGAACTCTATGTACCAAAAGGCTGGGTGACACTTTCTTGGCAGTGATGTTTAAAATGTTTCCTTTTTAAACCTAAAGCCAACCCCTATGTGTTTTATTTGCCAGTTCTTACTAATGAGTTCAGTAGAAAACAATTTTTAGCAAAAAAGAGTGGACCAGAAATTAGAAGGTAATTTGATTACCTTCCATTTGATCGATTTGATTAAAATACTGTTTCCCTGAAAATAAGATCTAACCTGAAAATACGCCTAGTATGATTCTTCAGGATGCTCGTAATATAAGCCCTACCCCCAAAATAAGCCCTAGTTAAGTAAAACCCCACCCTCCATCATTGTGCAGCATTGTGCAGCAACCAGAAGATGACATGACTGTAAAATAAATCATCCCCCGAAAATGAGCCCTCATGCATTTTTGGAGCAAAAATTAATATAAGACCCTGTCTTATTTTCAGGGAAACACGGTAAGTAGAAATAGTCTTCCTTCTACAGCACTGCTTGTAGCCACCAAGTCCTCCTCTACCTGCTACCTTCTCTCCTGCTGAGCTTCCCATTGGCTGGAAATGCCATTCTGAGTATTCTTTCCCACTTGAAATGTGTGAATTGCAATCCAAACTTATTATCCTTGCTGGGAAGAGGCAACCAAAAGACTTTTCCACAGGAGCAGAAATCCAACTAATCTCTCTCATGATTGTTAACCATTGTTCACACACTAATGTTAAGAAAATAGAAGATACAGTATGAGCTGTACTGTCCAATTAAAGTAAGGACAAAAGGCTTTGCAAGAAGGACCTGAGAGGTACATCACAAATGCCAGGAAAATTTATTTCTGGGTTGCCTTTTTTGTAATATAACTCTGATAAGTATTGAAAATTTAAAGAACTTTGATATTCTGGATATCTACCACAGCCATAAGCAGAATACCAAGGAGTGTCAAAGTGACCCATAAGTAATCATGCACCCTTTTCTGTAAAACTCTGATACTGTACGGATGGCAGTAGAGCATTCAGATGGCAAATATGTTTATAATTCACAATCTAATTCTTGATACAATGAAGAAGTCTTGGCAAGATTTCATAACTGAGTGAAGTCTGTCTAATCAGAGAAATAATGTCCCTGGAAAACTACTAAAAGGGTGGGGAATTTCGATTCAGCCTTTTTAAGTCCGAGGGTTAAGTTCAGTTTCAGATGCTTTCCAGTGGTGAGCACGCCCAAAGGCTAAAGATTGGAACCAAGAATACCAGAGAATTTCAGTTTAAAGCACTTATTGACACTTACTAAAGACTTAATCTTAGAGCTGGAAGGGACCCTATGGGTCAGTGAGTACAGTCCCTGTCAAGGAGTCACAGTGGGGAATTGAACTTCTAGCCTCTGGCTCTGCAAGCTAGATACCTAAACCACTGAGCTATCCAGAAGTTGTTACGATGGGAAAAGTTCCATACAAAGCCTGGAGCCGCGAAACAGTATCATGGTGTGTGGAACTCTGGGAAAATCTAACAGGTCAGACTGGAATCCCAGGAAGATTCAATTAGGCCCCAAGGACTTAGGTTCCCTGCTGCTATATTGCTGAATCCTTGATTACCTCCAAGACAGGATTCACTAGGGAACCCATCTGCAAAATAAATGGTTCCAGTGCAGTAGTGTTCTGGCACATCCTCCATTCCCATTAGCAGAATAATCACACATGGATAAAGAATAAAGCAAATCAATGGGAGGATCAGAGATACTTATTCATTGGTAATCGTCTCCACAAGCATGCAATGACTTTGCTTCCTTCCCTATCTGTTATACAAGTGAAACAAGGCAGGACAAGCAAAGAACCACAAACCCTGAGGAGATTTAAATTTATTAAGAAATTAGCTTCAGCATGTATAAAATAGGGTCTTAAACTGTGAAATATTAATAATTATGAATTTCTACAAATTTTTCCTACCTGTTTTCCATCCAGTGTACAAATTCTCTTGACAACTCCGGAATCTAACTTAATGGCTTCTGTTATGTCAGTCAACACTTGGTCAAAGGAATGAGCAGTCTTTTTATTCAGCAAAATTCTCACAGCTTTCCGTGGTTTCACCCCACTCCGTATAACGGTCACCAGTTTGGGTTTAATGAAGTCTTTGCTCTCCTTCACATCACTTCTTGCAGATGTCAGAGATGTAAGGGATCGAGATGATGCAGATTTGATGTTAACAGACCAATTTGGATTAACATTCTTGGTGTAATCAACTTTGCGAAATGGTTCATTGGATGCGCATACATAGCTTTCACCTAGTTGAGATAGAAAGGGGGGAAAGAAAACCACATTATATTTCTAGGATCTCATTTATTGTTTTAATATTCCATGTACAGTGGTGCCTCGCTTAACGAGTGCACCATATAGCGATGTTTCCGCATAGCAATCCCTTTTTCGGGATCGCTATACGGAAACATACCCGATCGTCGCAATGGGGAAAACCCGCATTGCGAAGATCGGGTATTGCGGCGGCCATTTTGGAGCCGCCGAACAGCTGATTGGCGGTTCCAAAATGGCCGCTGGAAGCCCGGAAATGGCTGCCGGCAGCTGTTTTCGCGCCCTGCCCTCGCTTAGTGAAGGCGCGAAAATGGCTGCCGGCAACTGGAATCCTCGCTGAACGGGTAAGTAAGAAAGGTATTGGAACGCATTAAACTAAGTTTAATGCGTTTCAATACATTTCCCCTACCCGTTTAGCGACGATTTCGCATAGCGAGGGTTAATCCGGAACGGATTAACCTCGCTATGCGGGGCACCACTGTATTACCTTGATACAGTTTCACTTCTTCCATGATTTTGAGAACCAACTATATGAGCTTACAATAATATTAGCAACAATGAAGTTAAAAAAATAAATGGCATTTCATCAATTAGATTTCAGGTTTTTGTATATATAATTTAAGAAATATGAATATATTCGCGAAGGCTGTCACGGCCGGGATCTAATGTTGTTGTGGGTTTTTCAGGCTTCTTGGCCGTGTTCTGAAGGTGGTTTTTCCTAACGTTTTGCCACTCTCTGTGGCCGGCATCTTCAGAGGACAGCAAACTGTGCTCTTGTGTAGTTTGGCTAGGGCGTGGAGTATTTATGGCTGTGAGTTGGGATGATTAGTGTGTATTGTTGTGGGTGTATTGTTTTCTGTGGATTGGTGATTAGTGTGTTTTGTTGTGTGTGCATTGTTGTGATAAGGAGATTGTCTGTCACTGTGGTTGATGGTGGTGATCCCCTTGACCTATTTCAAAATACGGAAATACTGGACAACACCAGCAATCATTACGTCAGACTGCACAGGGAAACCATTGAAATCCACAAGCAGCAGAAAAACTTCAATAAAAAAGAGGAAAGTCTGAAACTCAACAAAACCTGGCTCCCAGCTCTCAAAAATACAGCATGCAAAAGGTCACAAACTCTACCCAACCACAAGGTCAAGGGGATCACCACCATCAACTACAGTGACAGACAATCTCCTTATCACAACAATGCACACACAACAAAACACACTAATCACCAATCCACAGAAAACAATACACCCACAACAATACACACTAATCATCCCATCTCACAGCCATAAATACTCCACGCCCTAGCCAAACTACACAAAAGCACAGTTTGCTGTCCTCTGAAGATGCCGGCCACAGAGACTGGCGAAACATTAGGAAAAACCACCTTCAGAACATGGCCAAGAAGCCCGAAAAACCCACAACAACCAATATGAATATACCGTATTTTTCCGTGTATAAGACTATAATTTTGTCTAAAATCTTTAGACTAAAAATCGAGGGTCGTCTTATACACGGAAGTAAGCTGAGGAGAGACCAAAAACAAGTGGAGGGGAAAGCAGGGATCAAAACGATCCTGCAGCGCTTTGATCCCTTTTCCCCTACACTTGCTAAACCCACTTAGATTTCTTAATTTTGGATTAGAAAAGTGGGGGGCGTCTTATACATGGGGGTGTCTTATACATGGAAAAATACGATATATATTTTAACAAATTATGAATAAAATAGGTTAACCAGTATGTATGGAAAAATTAAAGGTAAAGGTAAAGGTTCCCCTTGAGAAAAAAGTTCAGTTGTGTCCAACTCTAGGGGCCAGTGCTCATCCATGTTTGTAAGCTGAGGAGCCAGCATTTGTCCATACACACTTTCCACGGTCATGACTAGACACGGAATGCCATTACCTTCACACCAAGGTGGTACCTATTTATCTACTTAGATTTGCATGCCTTCAAACTTCTAGATTGGCAGGATCTGGGACAAGCAACAGGAGCTCACCACATTGTGCGGATTTGATCTGTCGACCATTTGATCAACAGCCCAGTACCTCAGTGGATTAACCCACAGCACCACCTGCATCCCTCTATGCAGAAATTACAATGAAAGCAAAAGCAAAATGTAGACAAAAAGTGTAGATATTAAATGACCAGTTACAGCAACACTTTGGAAATGACTTTGCCTGAAATGGAATGTAGCTGTAAGAAGTCCCTAGACTTTGTCTGACATTTCAATACCCCATCAAAGCCACAATAAAAAGGAATGAAAGACTGCTAGGAATTTTACAATACTGACCTTAATCCAAATGAGTATTTACTTATATTGGTACAAGTGCAATCACATAACTTGAAACAGTCAGTAGCCGCTAATTAGTAAGTCCCCAACTATACTTAGTCATGTGCTGAGTCACACAGCTGATATGTCACTAGGAATTCCACAGGGATCTATTATTTAGAATCTATTTGCCACTCCAAGTTATGCCACTGTAGTTATGCCAGCATAAACATTCAACTGAATTTTGCCCACTGCTTTCTATTTTGACCTGGGGAAACAGTGTGATCTAGCAATCTGTTATCCCAAGTGTAAAGAATACTCTTAAAGCAGGGGTCTCCAAACTACCGCCCGTGGGCCACATCCAGCCCATCTTGCCATTTTATCTGGCCTGTTCCCCTCAGCCTGTGTGTGTGTGGGGGAGGTGGGGGTACATGTGGGGAGGCATGCGTGTGTGCCTGTGCATGGGGGGGCAGGCATCCATGCGGGGGTGCAGGCGGCCGGCCATGCATATATGTGCATGCACGTTCCTTCAGTCCTCAAAAATGTTGAAAGGATAGGATATAGCCCTCACACTCCAAAGTTTGGAGACCCCTGTCTCAAAGGAATTACACAATTTAAGGGACATTTGTCAAGAATTCAGCATTCTCTTTCCTACAGAAGTGAGACGGGTATTTTAGGATATCTAGAGGCAAATCTATTCAAATCTGCATTCTCTTATAATCTGTTTGGTTTCCAGCGGCCAGCTATTCCACTCCATCTAGTCCTCTGTAAAAGAATAGCCTGGGAGTAGCCACTGAAGAAACCCTCTCTCCTGCCCTCACCAGATTTGCCTGATGGGCAGTCAGACTGACAGAAGGTCCCAACATTCTCTTAGGTCTTAAAACAGATCTCAAACCCTGGAGATGTGCTTAAGGGAAGATGCAGTCCTTCAAGTCACCTGGACAGAAAGCAAAAGAAATAGAATCTATTCCCACAACATGTCCCACTTAGCACATTATCAACAATGTGATCTGGGTGTGTTGAACAATGGCCTCAAATAGAGTAATACACGTAGATGATCACACAAGCCAAATGTTAGACAAAAATATGTGAATGGAAAAACTATAAAATAAGCCCCACAAGCACTGTTGGACAAACAAACAAAATGTACTGTATACTTAAATCAAAAGTTTGGATCTACTTGGGATTAGCACTATCATAATATAGTCAATGGAACAAATATCAGAAGAAACAGTGAGGAACATGGCACATATAGTGGAACAAATACCCATCTAGTCACATCTGGGTTTCCATGGCCCAGCAGGAATTTGAAATCTGATCTCTTGGGTTCCAGATTGATATTCTACCCATTACACCAACCATTCTGTCTTTACACAATATTATATACACAATATGGTATAGGATACATGGCTGCTCTTTGTGAGAACTGTTAACAAGAATATTGTGACAAAATTTTAATAATGATCTTGTCTTGATGAAAATTATGAAAAAACAGGATTTCCAAGGTAAGCACATTCTAAGAAATTTTAAGCAAGTTCTAAAAGCTCACATTACCATCTGGATTATGTATAAATGAATATAGTAGGGCAGTAAAAGCCTTCCAGTTTTTCCTTTTAAGTAAGATACTCATCATTTTCTAAAGCTCTCAAGTAGTCTTTAAAGTCAATTCCATATACAACACATTCAAATAACAAAAACCAACTGTTAGAAAAATACAACCACCAAGCTTACATCCATGAAGACCTACTTCACCAGAGCATCTGTCAAAAGAGTGTGAACAGCTTATAAGAAAATATATGCAAAATCAAACACATGAATGGATTCAAGAGCAATTCAAATGACAGTCTTGATGTTCAAGGGCTGGGACTCATCAATTTAACTCTTCCAGTTGTAAGTCATAATTATCCCTAAGTCTATTGTACACTGCTATTAATATGCCTGAATCATATATTCATATACTGCATTCATTTTACACAATATGCAGTACATATACACTATACAGTATATTCAATTTTTTTCTCTCTTTTTGATTAGTAGTCTACTCAATATCCTACCCTGGTACTTTTTTTCCTGGATATATGAGGACATAGACGACATACTGCTATCAGATGCTTTCCCCTTCTTTACATCCAGTTAAATATCTCTGGTACTGTAGACCTCATTTGTGTATTCTAAACTGATAATTGTATTTTTTTGAATACAATAAAAATGGTTTGAATATAGGCAAAAGTCACCAGTGTTTAGGACACTGTGCAATCACTACTTCAAAACAATCTAGAGATATTTCCCTTAACTCTAACTTGCTTCAAAGAAAGTCTTGTCAAGTATGATACTGCCTTGCTTCTAAGAGAATCTTCCAGTGATAAGTGAGCAGTTTCACCTTGATTGTCAAATCTTTGTCATCACATTTCCCCACTTGTTATTGCTCATTTTGACATGGCTTACTAAGAACTCCTCTCATTTGAGATTAAAACTAGATTATGAAGCAGTGGGCTATAATGTGCACCCTACTATTTCAAGCTTGAATGCCCACACAACCAAGACACACATCCATAGGAACATACTTTTAAGATACTTACGTTATGCATGACAATGGGCAGGGGAGGAGAATCACCCCATATCTTAGTGCAGAACACTATAAAGACCCCCTTACAGGTTAACTGTGCATAGGGTCCCTCATCCCAAGTACACAGAGATGAGTCTCAAAGTTAGT